GCAGCTTGTTTTTGATGCACACCTTATGTTCTTTTTGACATTTTTAAAGTTACTACATACTACTTTGATTAAAAATTTTAAAAAGCAAATACAGTGGAGAAAGACATTCAAGCCACTTGTAAGAACACTTGAAATTTGCCTCTTAGTAGCATTTTATTAAATGAAGTGGTCAAGATTCCCACTGAGCTGGAAGCCCTATCTTTGATGCAGTTGGAAATAACCAAGAAAATTTATTCTACACGTTTCAATAATTAGGAGCTTACTACCTTGTAAGGGGATGAGTGCTGTCACTTACAGTCAAAGCCCATGAGACCAGAGGGTCACCACCAAGGTCCTGTGATTTCCTGAGACTGTAGGTGACAGTAGCTCAGGGATGAAAGGCAGGAGAGGCGAGATGAAAGTGGGTCTTGGGAATGGGTGTGGACCTGAGATTATACCTGCCCTTAGGTGGACTAGGGGGGCAGTAGGAGTTCCAGGCTAGTGTGTGGAAAGCCAGGTCTGCTACTGTTTCAACCACTGAGACTTCATCCCTCACCTCTGCTTTTCCTCTTCAGCTTTCCCTTTTCTTCTCTGGAGATGCAGTGGAAATTTTAATCTTGAGACTAATTTGAATTTGGTGCTAGACTGCATGGGGCTACCAGCTGTGTAGCAGCTGGGCTGTGGTGGGCCGCAGTCATTTCTCTCAGACCTCAGCATGGTAGTGTCAGGAGTCTGTCTCACTTGAGTGTTTTTCCTCATCTGGCTCTTTTCTGGAGGAGTCCTTGCAGAGACAGGGACAGGGTTTACTTTCAGACTAAGATTTTCTAGTAATCTGCGTGGTATGTAAGACAATGGCAATAAGCACATCTCTGAGGCTCTTGTGCGGCATGTCTGTGGTCACGACTGTGGTCATGTGGCATTGTTTAGAGCAATGCAGTAACCTTGAAAGGTTGTTGATCATGAGTGCTATCAGTAAAAAAACAGCGTATACATCTGACAGAGGTTCATCTACTTGTAAACTGTTGTTCTAATTGTATATATTATAAAACATACAAAATAGCAACTTTAAAAGGATGGGCTAAAAATACAAGTTTAAGTTTTTGTTCCTGTACTGCAGTGAACTGTCTTGCTCATGTTCAGAGAGCACTGATGTACAGACATCACTTCTCCATTCTTCACTTCTTCCCTCTGTTGCTCTGTTTGTTCATCCCACTTCATCGAGGCACGCCGACCCCCCAGTCCCACCCCCACCAAGATCATGGGAGAGGGGAAGGTAAAGCCCTCATCTTCTGAAGGGGAATGATTCTCTTACTGTGTGCCACTTATGAGAAAAATGTTTAAAATTTTTTTCCACTTTATATACAACTGTTGACTTCTTCCAAAGAATGTGCTTTGCATCACTCCATGCCATGATGATTTCTAGCACAGACTCCCACCCCACACACCCCTCTGTCTTGACAAGTCGGGAAGGTTAGGCTTTCGGAGGGGACATGGCTTGTACCAGGGAAGCACAACAGGAGCAGGCCCCACGTCCCTGGAGTCATTTCCTTTCTCTTTCTAGAATTGTATGGTGCATGCTAAAACTTCCCAGGAACCCTTTAACCTGTCTTAGCTACTTTATGTATCTGAAAGTTATAGAGTTCAATGCATTTCAAAATGGTCTGTTAAGACCCTTTATCTCTTTTGACCATCCACATTAATCTGATTTGCTTGGGGCCTGAATTCTCTGAAGCTGATGGGGAGTTTCAAGGGTGTAGACACTTGTTGCTTTTCTTCTTCCTTTTGTGTGACTTCGAGGGAAATTGTTTACATAATTGTGTAGGTGGCTCCCTGCCTACTCTTGTGATTGTGGATTTTTTTCTTTCATCCAAAGAAGGGACCCTTCTTACCTTTCTGCAGGTGTTTGCTAAACCCAGTGTATTCTAGCAAGTCGCTTCTCTCGTGTACCTGCAAATGTGATGGTTGGCTGGTGCTAGCCTTACCCATGCTTGTTTCTCAGAGCTTCACAGTGCTGCCTCCCTCTGTACCAGGCGGAGCATGTGAAGTACCTTTTCAGGACTGAAGCTCTGTGGTCACCCCGCAGGGGAAATGCTCATGTATTTTAAGTTTTAAAACCAATCAGCTGAGGTTATTCTTTGCATTTTAGCTTCAGGTTTATCAGACGTCTTTTTTTAAAATATTATTTGTAGTGTATTTTACGTAACAAAAAAGCTCAAAAGATGTTTTCCTTTGGAAAATTTGGCTAACCGGGAATATCTAATGGAGTTAAGTAATTTGTATTTAAAGCAAAGAAGTTTATTTTTGAACAAATGGCAAGATGTAATGATTTTTATTATCAAAGTTAGGAAAATGGTTGTGTTTTTAGCTACCGTACTCTTATATTCTAAGTGATATCCTGGTGAAAACCAGTCTGTTCTTTTTGCCCCTGAATAGAAAAAAAGAAAAGAAAAGGTCTTAGCTAAATTTACTTTGAAGGGGAAAAGATTCAGAAACACTTGTTTGGATATGATTATCAAATTTCTTACCTCAAGTTTCTGTGATATGTTGCTCATGGAGTCCCAAGGTAGGAGGAAGCGGTTTTGTTTGTTTTACTTTCTGGTAGCTAGTTTGTAAAAGGAAAAAAAAAAAAGGTGTCAGCTCTCCAGAATCCACATGGGCAGAGGAAGCGGTTTTGTTTGTTTTACTTTCTGGTAGCTAGTTTGTAAAAGGAAAAAAAAAAAAAAAGGTTTCAGCTCTCCAGAATCCACATGGGCTTGACTGCTGCATTTGGAAGCCTCTTAACATCTGAGTGGCACAGGACAGAAGTCAGGGCAAGGCACCTGTGCCCTGTTCCCTTCTGGTCCTCAACGCAGACCAGACCACGGCTAGAAGAGAGTAGCATTGGTGCAGGAACACTCTGGCTGTCGAGTACTTTGGCATGGTGCCAGTTGTTCTCAGTTGTCCTCCCTAGATTTGGTTTTGAATACAGACACTAGTGTCTAATTTTTCTCTTTTTCTAAGACTTAAAAAAAAGGTATAAAGGCATTAGGCCAGCAAGCGACAGGAAACCCATTGCGTGGGGGCAGTATAGGTGTTGGAATTTAATAAAGAAGGCTTGCCCTAGCCATTAAAGTTGTAGTTTTTAAACACAGAGCAGAAGATTCATTTTTTTTTAATGACACCCCCCCCCCCCCACACACACACACATGGCAAGCTGGTCAGTTTTGTGCATTGAATTTTAAGAGCAGACGGTGGAAAAAAAAACAAAGCCCTGTGGTAAGAGAGGTGGGACCAAAAGCTAATGCAAAACTTCATGGAGAAAAATGGTGATGTAGTACTCACCTGAGAGAGATCAGAATACCAAATCATTATTTCTATCCAGTCAGTCCACGTGGAAGACATTCTTTTACGTTATTCAGGGAATCACTTTTAAGTGCTTACTTTCAGATTGAATGCTAGTTGAGGGAGAGACCCAGAAACAACACTTAAACTATAGTAAATACTTACTTTGTATATCCATTATAAATATTTGTGTCTAGGGCCGAGCCCGTGGCGCACTGGAGAGTGCGCTGCTTGGGAGTGCAGCGGCGCTCCCGCCGAGGGTTCGGATCCCATGTGGAGACCGGTTCCCGCTCACTGGCTGAGCGAGGTGCGGGCGCAACACCGAGGGTTGCGATCCTGTTGCCGGTTGCCGGTCCCCGGTACGGGCGCAACACCAAGGGTTGCGATCCCGTTACTGGTCAGTAAAAAAGACAAAAAGGAAAAAAAAATATTTGTGTCTAATATCTCTAATAGCTCTACTTGAGACTTTCTTATTTGTTTCATGGTTAATCTCAGTGTCACAAATAAAGTTTGTGGTATTATCAGCTTTCTGCTTCTGAGAAATTTGGCTGTGTATCCTCTAGAGCTGTTGCTGTCCAGTATAGTAGCCATGAGCCACATGTGGCCATTTAAATTTAAATTAATTTCAGTGGAATAAAATTAACTCCATTTCTCATTCATACTAGGTCACATCTCAGGTGCTCAGTAACAACACATGACTTGTGACTACAGTATTGAACAGTGCATAGACAGAGTATTTTCATCATCTCAGAGAGTTCTGTTGGGCTGGTCTAGAATCTAGCATTTTTTCTATTCCTGGGAAAAAAACAGTTAATTTTATACTCCACACTGTGAAAGTGGTTTATTGGGGCTAGACGAGACAAATTGCCAGGTGCGTCCCATGGCTCTGTACTGTAAGGCTACACAGAACAGTCTGGTCTTGGAAAGGCTGATGGAGGGATTCAGAAGCACATTTTACTCCTGTTGATGAAGTATGGGTTTTAGAGGTAGACCAGCCCTTCCAGCGGGATGTCTACTAGTTGGGTGGCATTGAACAAGTCACTTAACTTTTCTGAACCTGTTTTCTCATCTGTAGAGTAGGGATGAAATACCAGCTTCCTAGGTTTTTGTGAGAATTATATTAGGTAAGCTAAGTGGAATAAAAAATATCAAACACTTAGCATAGTGCCGGGCACCTAGTAGTAAGCATGTGCTCAGTGGTAAAATATATAAAAATATATTTTTTTGTGTTCATAAGTAATAATGGTGCTTGCTCTTCTTGTTGATGTCAGTTCTTTTTCTGATGTGTGCTGCTTTTTTCTCTTTTTTATTCTTTGTCTCCCTTTCTTTGCTCTAGTTTTGTTTTCCTTTTTTTCCCCCTCTCTTATGTCTTTTTCTTCTGATTTAAGAGCCTTGGATAACTCTGTTAATGACACCTGAGAATAAAGAATTCTCTGTCCCTAATTATTGTGGTACAGTGAACAATGGGGAATTGTTATCAGAATGAAAGCAAACTAAGTATTCAAAAGACAGCACCTTTGACCAGTATTTATGATGAAGCTGCTTCATATGGGGCTGAGGGGCAGTGTGGGAATAATTGGCCAGTAGAGATGGGGTCTGTGAACTGTACCTCATTAGCATCTACCAGTAACTGGTCAGCAAACTACCCTGAGAGCCATAGCCAGAAGGTCTCTGGTAATTATACATTTTTACTTACGTAGCAACAAAGGAGAGAGCGTGAAGCTAGAAGGCAGCAAGAACGTGAACAGCGAAGGAGAGAACAAGAAGAAAAGAGGCGTCTAGAGGAATTAGAGAGAAGGCGTAAAGAAGAAGAAGAGAGGAGACGGGCAGAAGAAGAAAAGAGGAGAGTTGAAAGAGAACAGGTTAGTTTACAAAGAATGTTCCATGCATTGACTTGTGAGGTTTGTTACTTTGTACAGCTGGGGGATTTGGGCAAGAAGTATGCACGCATGTGCATGCATACAAGCACACACATACACACACGCTCAGAACTTCAGGTGTTTGAAAATGGTGAAACAATCGGAAGCACGCCAGTCTGTCTTAAAAAGATATATACATCATTGCGCTTTAGAAACCTTTTGAAAACAGCTAAGTGGTCCCCAAATGCTATGATACCTGAAAGATTTCTGAATATATCTTCTTAGGCTTTTGCTGTGAAATATCTGGATGATAATTAACTTTCTTTTTTTTTTTGAGACCGGCCGCACCGCGCTCAGCCAGTGAGCGCACCGGTCATCCCTAAATAGGATCTGAACCTGCTGCGGGAGCGCAGCGCCGCACTCTCCCTAGTGCGCCACGGGCTCGGCCCTAATTAACTTTCTTAAAAATGAAATTAAAAATTAACTAAGAAATTTTTTTTGAGAAATGTTTGAAATATCCAGTGGCTAAGTGAATATTATAATATCTCCTTGCATGTAACTTCTTACACACATATATAGCATTAAAATAATAACATTATTGTTTGGCCAAAAAAGATCAGGTTCCAGTAATATTTATAGCACTTTATTAATGCCAGGTATAGTTTTATTTAGGGATTTCCATTATTTCCTGGACTATCTGTGCAAAAATCAACTCTGCCCACCCTCTTTGCCTTTCTTGTCTTTGAATTGATCACTCTGTTATGAATAAAGAAAAAAGTGATGTGAGTGGGACCAATTTAAATAATACTTGAAATTCATATTTAAAATACTTGCAAACTATTCTGTTAACTTCCAAACGTCCTTGATACTAATCATGTGCCTCGGTTTTTCTGAGACACAGGGTCTGCATGCTCATGTGTTTTCCTAGAGTTTCTGTGTTACCCTTTGTCTGTTTGTTACATTGTTGACATTATTGACCAGTTAACTGTAGGGTGTGTTTTGTTTTAACATTCTAGTTATGTTTATACCTGGGACTGCAAAGAGGAGAAACTATAAACTTTTAAGAATTAAATCACCTAGGGGTAATTGTCACAATTTGATCATGAGAGAGAGGGTATGACAGTAGTTCTTCCTCCTTAATGCTCTAATGGCAGTCAGTAGATTGTGCGAATAGCAAGTGTTCTGCACTGCCTCTTTTTAAAAAAAAAAATCTAAAATCACTTTTATTCTGCTTTTCTTATTCTATTGCAAAATGATAATTCCCCATGTTAACAGTGCTGTAGGATGCGTTTCATTCCGGCTTATGTGTGTATGTTTGTGTACTTGTTTGTTGTGTTCTGTATGTTCATTGACTGTAGGTTAGGACGTTTGTGATTTGGATAGGATGTGATTTATCTAGTTGCCTCTGTGGTTTGAAGGCAGGAAAAAAAAATGAGTGTACTAACTTGATCCTTCAAGTTATGATTTAATTCAGTTTTCTTCAAAGAAAAACTGAATTGGGAGTCAGGTTCCTTTTTTCAGTCTTCGTCGGGTGAGGCCACACAACCATTGCAGGGCAGTGCTTGGCACAGCATGTATCATGCAGGGGTAAGGCATAAATGGAAGGGATGTGGAGCCTAGGTCTCAATGAGTTATCTTTGTGAGTGGCCCGTTGTGTAAACTTCCCCTCAGATTGGTTTTTTGGCTTAATTTGCTTTGTAAGGTAAGTATTTCTAAGGCTATTTATATGCTGTAGTTATTCTGTTACACAGCATTCTCTTAGCCAGAATTTTTGGTTAACTAAAACTTCTCTTCAGCCCATATCTGTGGCTAATTTTATTTTAAGGTATGCACTGTGTTACAAGGGGATGATCAGCAGTAGATACTCTAAGAATATCATCCGAATTTTAGGATAAAATTTCTCCTTATGTCCCTTAGTCTACTTCCCTTCTAGAGTAGATAGCTGTCGAAAAGAAAGGAATCCTCTTTTGCTTGTAAAATGTTTCATGTTTCTCAAAGTCATTTCATATCTGTTTTATATTTGAGCCTTACAAAAACACTGTGAGAGTTGGGAGAGAAGATTTGCTGCTCATTTCTCAAAAGAGACTGAGAAAAGGGAGATTTAGAGCTACAGGTGATACAGCTGGTCCTTGAGGGAGCTGGAGCTCAGGCCTTCTGATGTCTTTGCCCACCATAGCAAGCGTGCAACTTCAAGGCAGGGCTTTTACCTCTTTACATAACATATTCTGGATGTGTTTACCTGTTTTCATTCTCCTTTCATTGGAACACCCCCCCCCACCACCACCACCCCCATGCTCATCATGAAGAGCCTGGGCCTATTCATTTTGGGGGAGTTGCCCAAGGAGTCTGGTATTCCCAGACTGTGGCTTTCAGAATGTAGTCATTCCAGATACCTTCTGAACCATCAGAGAAAGCACAAATCATGTTTGTTTTATTTTAATATTAAGCAGGTTTTGGTTTTAGGTTTCAAAAATTAGTGATTGATGTTCATTATAATAATGACTACCAAGCAGACATTTACTAATTTATTTTATAATAATGACTACTAAGTCATTTTATAATAATGATTACTAAACAGACATTTACTAATTTTTTCTCTGATCCTTTCTAATTAAACTCTCTGGAGTCTACCATTCTTAAGAGAAATGGCATCCACCTTTAAAATTCTGCATTTGTATATAACAGCTGTTTTCTAACAAATACTTTCAGATACCTCTATGTATATCATTGGAATGTATATCATCATTTATTAGACTCTTTAAGTCCCCTGGCCAATCTGAAGTTCTTGGAAAAATTCTTGGCAGTAGATTTTTTTTAGGTATTCACCACTAAGCGCATTGTCACTAAAGATGATTGGAGCAAATAGTTCTTGGTGCTCCATTCAGGTGGTTCTGTTGCTTTCCTTTTGGGTAAATTGATTGCTGGGTAATTTCTGTGTGACAGGAGTATATCAGGCGACAGCTAGAAGAGGAGCAGCGGCACTTGGAAATCCTTCAGCAGCAGCTGCTCCAGGAGCAGGCCATGTTACTGGTAACACCCGCCTCTGTCTTATTCTGTAGCACCAGGGCTCGTGTATCCTTCCCTTGAGTTGGGCAACCTGTGGTGATCACCAGACCATTTTGATTAGCTCTGTGGGTGGCCAGTCTCAAACAGAGATGTCCTTTGTAGTCATACTACTTGGGACACATTGCAAGGTGGCTTTTATTTATTACCCATTAATAAGTTAACTGTTCTCATTTGTTAGATAGACACAGTTTTGAACAGAGCTTGGCATTGAGTAAACAAACTTGAATGCTAAGGGCTGTAAGTTCATAGCACATGGCATAGAATTTTTACCTAATATGTACACCACTGAAACAGACATTTAATTGAATTCTCTCTTACTCTGTCCACTGATATTATGGTCAGCAACCGCTGTCAGATTTTTCCACAGGTAATGTGCTGTTGAAAATGCCAGCCATTTTTCTTTGTTATAAAACAAGGCGGGGAGGGAAGTATTATCTTAAAAAAACAGTTGAGAACAAATCCAGAGAAGAGAAGAGGTGAGCTCTCCAGTGTCCCATAGATTTAGTGTTATCCTCTCCCTCTCCAAGGAGTGCCGATGGCGGGAGATGGAGGAACACCGGCAGGCAGAGAGGCTCCAGAGGCAGTTGCAACAAGAACAAGCATATCTCCTGTCTCTACAGCATGACCACAGGAGGCCGCACCCGCAGCAGCCGCAGCCACCGCCGCAGCAGGAAAGGAGCAAGCCAAGCTATCACGCTCCCGAGCCCAAACCCCACTACGAGCCTGCTGACAGAGCTCGAGAGGTACCTCCTGTCCTTCGTTGCTTAGGCATCGGGCCCATGTCGATTGTTCTCTGAAAAGCAATAATGACGACTCTTCAGAACTGTGCAATGTTAATGCTGAAACGGGCCGTAGAGATGAGCTAAGAGATTGAGGTTCAGAGGAGTGGAGGGGCTTGCCTGAGGTCTCATATCTAGTTAGTGCTTTTTCCATAAAGGAATCAAATCTCAGTTTACAAATCTCAATTAACACATCTCAGAAGAATTGGAAAGTAAACACAAAGAAGATTGTTTGGTAGAATTGTTCTTAAAAATATAAATGAGAGGGATGGTGGTCTGATTAACTATTTCTCCAAAACTAGTATGAGGAAGAAGTGCGCCTGTACCCAGTTTACTGACTTTTCAACTCTCATGACTTGTTACTAAATTGGTGCACTAGAACTGGCCAGGACCTCAGAGTAGGAGGTGACACAGCAGTACTGGTGGGTCATCCTCGGGCTTTCAGAGGTGTTGAGTCCGGGCCTGTAGGTGGCAGTCTTACATTGTCTGCGACACCAAGAGTGGATTCTAGAAACAAGGGGTCCGCTTGTTCTGGGGTGCCTCTATTTTTAGTGGAATGAAATGTGTTTGGGATTCCTGATAATAGTTTTTCAATCTTTGGTTTAGTTGGTTGTGACATTAATTTACTTTTCTTGTTTATCCTTGCATTCAATCCCAGAATTCTGGGTAAGGTGGAGGTCTTAGAGTCTGCCTTACTTAATTTTTATCTTCATAACTATTTTCTTTTTCCTGAATCAAATCCTAGTCCTGCTTTATCTGCCTTTTTTTTTTTTTCCTCTCTTTTCCCCCTCAGCTGCCACTCTCTTTCTCATAGCTGAAGAAAACAAAAAATTGTATTTAGAATCTATTTACCTTCAGACTTTCTTCGGTTCCTCTGCTTTTCGCTACTAACACTGAGTTATGTGTTCTAATTCTCTGATGCAGGTGGAAGATAGATTTAGGAAAACTAACCACAGCTCCCCTGAAGCCCAGTCTAAGCAGACAGGCAGAGTATTGGAACCACCAGTGCCTTCCCGATCAGAGTCTTTTTCCAATGGCAACTCCGAGTCTGTGCATCCTGCCCTGCAGAGACCAGCGGAGCCACAGGTAGCACCAGCCAGCCTTGCTGTGGGTTGAGGAGACCCCTGTGATGGCCCATCAAGCCATGGTCTGCCTGTAACGTCCACAGTTCAGTTGTTACCACATTTAGAAAGAGAAGAGATGAGCAGGAGCGACTGGAGACTCAAAGAGGACACTCAGGTGATAGGGAAAAGAAGGATTTTTTTTTTTTAAAGATTTTTGTTGTACTTATTAAGAATATCTAGAGTCAGTGATTTCTTCTTCTAATACAAAGATTTTTTTACTTTAGTTTTTAGAGAATTAGTACTATAAGCACTTAAAGGGAGAAGCAGAACCTTTTCTTCCAAGCATTTTTTTTTTTCCCCTTTTTGTCTTTTTTTTTACTGACCGGTAATGGGATCGCAACCCTCGGTGTCGCGCCCGTACCAGGGACTGGCAACGGGATCGCAACCCTCAGTGTTGCGCCTGCACCGCGCTCAGCCAGTGAGCGGGAACCAGTCTCCACATGGGATCCGAACCCTTGGCGGGAGAGCCGCCGCGCTCCCAAGCGGTGCACTCTCCAGTGCGCCACCAGGCCGGCCCTTCCAAGCATTTTAAAGTGATCCCTGTGATCTGTGAATAGGCCTTAGAGAGCAAACGGTGCCCCTGAAGTTCCATGCAGAATTTTTCGACTTGCCCAAATATGCATATTTTTCTGGGAAAAGGGTCTTTTATAAGATTCTCAAAGAGTTCAAGACCCAAAAATGTTAGTTGCAGGGGGTAAGGTGTGGATTTTGAAGTGAGTCAGGGCAAAGGTCATGGCCTCTCGGGTCTGCTGCAGCATTCTGCCTTGTCTAAGTGAGGGAGAACCATGGGGCTGACTGCAGTGTGGTTAAAAGAGAAACCACTATGTTGTCTGGAGAAGAGAGTAGACAGCAAAGATTACCCAGGCAAAGATCTCAGAGATCCTCAAAACACTGATTTTCTCTTACTGAGAATAATTAACTTTTAGACATTTTCCTCGTTGGCTCTGTGTAATCCAGAATTTTGGGAACAATTTCTTAAGCCTGAGTTGCTTATCACTGGTGTTTCATGTGTAAGGGGACAAAAGTTCGCGTTCTTATGACAGGAGTAGCTGTGGTGTTCTTAAGTACAAATTCAGATGAGAATTTGAATGTGCTTTACAATAAATAATACCCTCAGATGATGGGGAATTGCAGTATGGATGAGTTAAAATAAAAGAAGAGCCAGGACCGCTGCAAAGGTGTGGGGGGGTTGAGGGGGTAATGACATGACATTAGCAGCTTCTTGAGTCAGAGAAGAGCAGGTCTGTTAGCAGATGGGCAACTCCTGCTAGAGAGGAGGGAATGGAAAGAAAAGGGAAGGGGGGGTGACAGTAAATGAACGAAAACGGAATAGCAGAGAGACTAGAGGAATAGGCTGGATGATGCTTGTTCTTTAACAAACTTGTTTCCCACTGTAGATATATTTCAAGAGTACAGGATAAGTTTTGTCCTGAAAGTTAAACTTACCGTAAATAGAAAATCTTTCTTTTTGGCCACCAACAGTTTAGGGAGTTCCTGGATTGGGTAGACTAATTTTTATATTCATGATTAATTAACAGAGTACATGGAAATAGTCTCCCTTTTCCTTCTATTCTAAAGTTGCTTTCAGCTGCAACATATACCTGTGTAACATTCTTTGGGGGGAAATTTTCTCATGTAGTACTCCATTTTAAAACTTATTTTTGATTTATAATTTCAGGTAATGTTTTCAGTTACATGCTTTTCCCCTGAAAATCTTAAGCATTTTAGAAGTCTGGGATTATTCCAAAAACTGGGATTATGTTGATCTCACCTGTAAATTGTAGAAATCATACTTGGAACTAACTCTACATTTTGTATTTGGAAAGGTTATACAGGTTGTGATTTGGTATTTTCAGTTTTCATTAAATAGATAAAAGATTAAATAAATTAGAATTGTAGGTAGAATTATGTAAATTGCAATATTGAACAATTATTTTAAAACAATAAGATATAATTTAGTGAAAATATCTTAGATTATTTCAGAGATTGTTTTCCCTGTTTTTAAAAGCAACTGGATAAACTCAGTTAATATTTCAGAGATTGTTTTCCCTGTTTTTAAAAGCAACTGGATAAACTCAAGTAGGTGTCATATTTCTTGAATTGTCAAGGAGAAAGAAAGACTCCCTAGCAGCAGTCAATTCCAGGACTCCATGGTACTTAATATTCTTAAATAGATCACAGTGCTTTTTTTCCTAACTAGTACAAAGGTGTGTGGAGGTATCTAGGTTATGAGTGTTTTAAAACTCGGGGAAAATAAGAAAAATTGGTGTATTAGAAAAGCGGGCTGTGATGAGGGCTTGTCTGCTCGTCACATGTACTGTTCCATTGTTGCTTGGTCTGAANCTTAATATTCTTAAATAGATCACAGTGCTTTTTTTCCTAACTAGTACAAAGGTGTGTGGAGATATCTAGGTTATGAGTGTTTTAAAACTCGGGGAAAATAAGAAAAATTGGTGTATTAGAAAAGTGGGCTGTGATGAGGGCTTGTCTGCTCGTCACATGTACTGTTCCATTGTTGCTTGGTCTGAAATCCTACACTGCAGGGTAATGTGAGGATGGCAGGCAGGTTTGCATGTTTGGCAGTGTTGTTCATCTTGTGATTTTTCTACCTTTCTATGTCCAGTCTCTCTGCTTTGACGTGGATGTGCCTGCAGCACGTTCTCCTCCTTTTTAGTAGGTCTCTAAGGCTCTGTGTAAAAACAGATTCTTCACATTTACTGCTATCCGTAGCGTTTGTCTGGATATTAAAAGTTTTCCTTGTAAATGTACATTTGTTCTTTTCTGCATACTGTGTGCCCCAGACCACTTCTTCACTTAGAAGTGTAACTGCTTAACTCCTTCGCTGACCTAATACTGTGATGCTCCCAGTTTGCATTCCGCCTGTGCCAGTTCCTGCTTTGAATTAGGTATTGACCAGAAGAGCCAGTGTTATGCAGAACGCATTGAATGTTTTGTGTTTTGTTTTCTTGTAAGGTACAGTGGTCCCACCTGGCATCTCTCAAGAACAATGTTTCCCCTGTCTCGCGATCCCATTCCTTCAGTGACCCTTCTCCTCCCAAATTTGTACACCACCATCTTCGTTCTCAGGACCCATGTCCACCTCCCCGCAGTGAGGTGCTCAGTCAGAGCTCTGACTCTAAGTCAGAGGCGCCTGACCCCACCCAAAAGGCCTGGGCTAGATCAGACAGTGACGAGGTGCCTCCACGGGTAAGGAGCAGAAAGACAGACGTGTGCTGCTTTTTCCTTTTTATTTTTTAAAAGATTATTTGTTTTAGTTATGGGTATGGTGAATTTGCCAGAATTAAAGGGGCAATGAAATTTCAAAGGAACTTTTTACAGTGGGAAGAAAGTTCCATAGATAGGCAGTTACATTTACCAGTGGCCAGTTACCTTTTTATTGTTGTTGTTAACTCTGCACTTAACCATAGGTAACAAAATGGTTTAAGACTGAGTCTATAAAGAATATGCTTCTAGAACAAATAGAATCATAATTTATTTTAGCAGTTTTCTTATAAGTTTATACAGGAGCTATGCATTATTTGCAACATTTACCAATTTTCAGAAAAGATTTTATAAGGAAAAAAATTAAGTATCAAAGAAAATGGGTTTTTTTTCTTTTTATATTGAGGGTTTTTAAAATATAATTACTTAATGATGAAATTAAACAAAAAGGCACATTTTATTTTTCCTCCTGGAATTTGCTTCCTCTGAATATTTTCTTGCTTCCTGCCAGTCTTTGCTTCCTGCTTGTCCATTTGTAGACCATTGTTTGGTTTCTTTGAGCTTATTTTCCTGATTCGCACGTTATTTCAGCAAAATGCCTTGTTCATCCCCTGCCACCGAGCTCCCATCCAAACATCATTTAAATGTTACATGAAGCATAGAAAGGCTGTTTGTACTGGCTCCTTAAATGCCTTTGGCTAAGTTTTCTCTCCCCATAGTTTCAGGAGAGGACCGGGAGGATGGGGGTTGGGGGCGGGCAGTGACAGGAATGCCAGCGTAAGTAGGACTGCTTTAAAAGTATGTTTTGGTAGGGAAGTCTTTTTT